ACACAGAAATTGTAGAAACTAAACAATACACTTAAATAAATAACACGGACCACAGAAGAAATCGAGGAAGGTATATAAGACTATTTCTAGAACTAAATGATAATGCCAGTACAACATATCAGAACTTACGGGACACAATGAAAGGATTCCCAAGAAAGGAAGTTTATAGCTGTATTTGTTTGGAGTATTACCCTTGCCATAAGAAAGATAAACTTGAGTTCTTTGTAGAATGCACCTTGAGACCATAATTTTAAGTGAAATAAAGCAGACACATAAGTGTAAGTGTCACATGGTTTCTCTTGTAGGAGAAACCCAAAGTAAAAATAAAGAGCAAAATAAAAGATAAATAATAGGAAATGAGGAAATAGATATTTCCCAAAGGGAAGGGGATCAAGAGATGGAAGGAGGGTAATGATTAGGAGGGGAGGGATAGAAGAAGCAAAAAGGAATTAGGATATGTTATGTACATGGACCAAGTCCACACAAAGAATGTAAAAATTATATACTACACATATGTACTAATAAAATTTTAAAATAAAACATAAAAAAGCAATATAGCTAATGACTATATAGGCTCATGTCATAATGAAATTTGAGTATTATAAAACAAATGTGTCCTTCCAAGTTACTTTTTTTTTTTTTTGAGACAGGGTCTCATAATGTAGTTCAGGTTAGACTTGAACTCACTATGTTGCTCAGGCTGGCCCCAAACTTTTGCCAATCCTCTTGCCTCAGCCTCTCAAGAGCTGGGGTTATAGGTGTGCACCTCCATGCCCAAGTTCCTTTCCTCTTTCTGTTTATTTTATTTTATTTTTTTGAGTCAGGGTCTCACCATGTAGTTCAGGCTGGCTTTCAACTCACACTGTAGTCCAAGCTGTCCTCTAACTCATGGCAGTCCTCCTACTTCAGCCTCTCAACTGCCAGGATTATAGGCATGCGTCACCACACTCAGTGCCAAGTTACTTTAAACTGAATACTGCCTGTTCTAACTCACAGACATTTCACTATGTCTGAGATGAGAAACTACGCTTGATCTTAGCCAAAAGGCCAAGAGGCAGTTGAGACAAGAAATTAAAGATCATGAATATAAAGCCAGGAGCAGAAATACATGTTTTATCAGAGGTGTCTTTTACAAATATTTTCTCCCATTTTATGGCTTGACATTTTGCTCTCTTGACTGCATTTTGCAGAGATGAAAGTATTATTTTATGAATACAATAAGTATTTTGGAAGTATTATGAATTCTTTCATGGATCATGTCTTAGGTAAAAAGGTGTAGGGAAAGTGGGAAGAGTAGGGGAAAGGGAATAAGGGAAAAGAAAAAAAAATATGAGAAAATGAAAAAATGGAAATAAAGTATTTGTAAATGGGGTGGGGAGGAGGGGGTGAAGGGAGGGCAGGGACAAGGGGGAAAAATGATGACCAAGACCTGTCATGTAAAGGTACAAGATCCCAGTACTGAATGTAACTGTACTATATACCTAGAATGTACTAATAAACTCAATAAAAAGAAAAAAAATAAAAAGTCATCATAAAAACATAAGTAAAAATAAAAAGTCTGTGTATGCCTATAATCCCAGCACTCAAGAGGCTGAGGCAGGAGGATCCCTGCAAGTTTGAGCACAATCTGGGCTACACATTGAGTTCCAGCTTGAATTACGTGGTCAAAACCTGTTTCAAAAAACAAAACAAGAATAATACTACTGTTAATAATAAAGTCATCATCAAACCTTAGTCACATGGATTTTCTCCTCTATTGTCTTCTGGGAATTTTATGTTTTCCATAAAGGTCTATGATTTTTTGAGTTATTTTTGTGAAGTGTATAATTTTTTTCTTTCTTTTTTAAAAATTATTTTGAGACAGGATCCAAGTCACTAAATTGTTCAGACTGAGCTTGAACCTGGCATTTTCATATCTCAGCCTCCCAGAGTACTGGGGTTATAGGTATATGAACTACCATGCCTGGCTGATTATTTTGTTGTGGGGGGATTTTTAATAGTTTTTTGGTACTGCCTTGTGGTTTTTGTTTGTTTGTTTGCTTTTTGTTTTTTTGGTACTGGGGATTGAACTCAGGACCTTGCTCTTGAGAGGCAGGCGGCTGCACCACTGAGCTAAATCCCTGGCCCTGTTTTGCATGTGGATATTTATTTGTTTCAGCACCATGTTTTGAAAGACTATTTCTTCTCCATTGTATTAATTTTTTCTGCTGTCAAAGATCAGTTGAGTATATTTATGCAGGTCTGTTTCTGGACTCTCCATTTTATTCCGTTGGTCTTTCACCAAAACCCCACTTTTCTTTTGTGTTGTTTTATTTCTTCCCCTTCCTCTTCCTCTTCCCCTTTCCCCTACTCTTCTTCTTCTCCTTCCTCCTCCTTCTCCTCCTCCTTTTTCTCCTTCTTTTTTCAGTACTGGGGATTGAACTCAGGACCTTATGCCTGATAGGCAGGCACTGTACCGCTGACTTACATTCCCAGCCCTTATTTGTTTTTCAAGACAGAGTCTCTCTATGTAGTTCAGGCTGGCCTTGAATTCACTGTGTAGCCCAGGCTGGCCTCAAACTTGCACAATCCTCCTGCCTCAGCCTTTTGAGTGCTGGGATTACAGGTGTGCACCACCCCGCCTGGCTTTACACTGTGTTGACCACTGTAGCTTTATGGCAAATCTTGCAGGTTGGTATGGTCAGGCTTCCAACTTTAATCTTCAGTATTATACTGGCCAGTCTGCATCCTTTACTTCTCTCTCACTATATATCAGTTTGTCAAGTACCTTGTTGTGTTTTTTATGACAATTACATTGAGTCCACAGGACAAGTCGGAAGAACTGATGTCATGACAATATCAAGCCCATGAACATGGAACATTTTTCTGTTTGATTCTTTGATTTCTTTTCAGAGAGTTCTCTAATTTTATTATACAAATGTTATAAATGTAGTGTTTTTGTTATTACTATCATCATCACTGTCATTGTTTTAGTTGAGTGCTGTACATCTGCTAGGTCCATTTCGAACCATTCCAATTCTTTACCTTTCTAACCATAAACCAAACATTTAAGAAGAGTTTCAAAAGGGACAACTTCCCAAGACCCTCTGATATACAAACCAAACATCTTCATTAGCAGCTTCTATCCCTTTATCCCACAAACATTATTTTCTTCCAACCCCTGCAAAAGGTGTTTTGAAAAAAGCCCTGCGTGGTGGCACATGCCTATAATTCCAGTACTCAGAAGGCTGAGGCAGGAGGATTGCTGTGAGTTTGAGGCCAGGTTGGACTACATAGTCAGACCCTACCTTAAAAAACCAAACAACAACAATAAAAGGTGTTTGGAATCATTGATTTGTGGAACTTACCCTCAAACTTCAATGATTAGAAATTAATTTTGAATGCCAAAGTTTGAGGGACATTAAGACAGCTGAAGAGGAACTTAAATCATAAGTTCTGGGTAGGCAAAAAATATACAGATGAGTAGTTTTCAGGTAGCATCTTTGGAGGTATCTCAGGAGCTGGAAGTGGCAGGGGTCTAAGCCTCACCTTCCTTTAGCCTGATCTGCTTTGCTTTTACCTGTTTAATACATTGAAATCCTTCTCCCCAAAATAATTAGAAAAACACTCATTTAGGCTATATTTTGACCTCCTGTGGAATTAGTCCAAATCATCTCTACCTGAACTATAGTTCTTTTCCTTAAAAGTTTGACTATTGCATGATTATATGATTAACTGACATTTTCCCAGGGACAGGGTGCAATATTTCAAAGTTTCTTAAGAAGATCTGCTAAGTGGAAAAGTATCTAAGCCTCGTCAGAACCATCTGTTCTGTTATCAGAAATGAGATAGGCAGGTGCAGAGCTTAGCACGAACTTTAACAAACAAAGTTTAGTAGAAAGAACCCTTGAAACTTTCTGGGGGTGCCAGAAGTTATCACACTTATAAAGATATCATTTTATGGTTGTCCTTTTATTTTGGCTTATATACCAGACTCTTAACCATAATTGTTAGGAATTCTGCATATATTAACAATCGACTATTTCTAGGTCTCATTTATGACTTATAACATCAGTTGAGGGTAAAATTCAAGATCTAGTTACTAGAGTAGAAAAAAAGATTTTATACATCCAATGTTTACATATATATGCAGTGGTACCTGAGTTCATGGACTCAATTCTTTCCATGATTGTGACTGCAAACAGAATTAGACAAGAGCCAAATAAAATTTCCCCAGTAGTTCAACATTGAACCTAACTGTTGAATTTGACTCGGTTCTCATACAACTTGATTTGCAACCAGAACTGTGGTCAAAAATTCAAGAACTGAGGCACCACTAAATTGATGAATAAATATATGCTTTTAAATTTTAAAAATATACTTTTCTTACATATGGCAATTTGGCCAGAACCAGTGTGACTCCAAATCACAAAATGACAGACTTTGTGCTTTGAGGGGGTGAAAAAAAGGGTATGGTATTCATTCCCTAATGAAAGACACCTAAGAATAATGGAAAAAGAGAGAGATAAGGACTTAGAGAACTGAGTGTGCTTTGCAAATGTAGGTATGGCCTTGGGTACATCACTGACTAATCATTTAAAAATTTTTTTTTTCTTTTGGTACCGGGAATCAAACGTAGTACCTTGTGCTGGCCAGGCAGGTGTAGTGCCACTGAGCTATATCCCTAGCCCTCCCCTCCATTAAGTTTATTGGTACATTTAAAGCAAACAATATAGTTACATTTATCATGGGATCTTGTCCCTTTACATGATATGTCTTGGCTCTTTTTTCTTTTTAAAGACAATGTCTTGCCATATAGTCCTGGCTCACCTTGAATTCACTATGTAGCACAGGCTGGCCTTGAGCTCAAGGCGATCCTACTGCCTCAGCTTCCCGGGTTCTGGGATTACCGGCATGCACCACTGCACCTGTCTATGTACAGACTCTTAAGGAAAGACTGTGCTGCCAGTGGGAAAGTAGGAAATAGCAGAGCAGGTCAGACCCTGATGATCTCTACTCACCAAACTGTACTTGTCTTTCACAGGCCCGGTGTCTGCCAGCAGCTTTGTCCTGGGGTTCATTTTTAGAATATCTCCAGTTGTGGTGCCAAGGTAGAAAAAACTGTCATCATCAGCCATCTGGCAAGAGAGGAACAGAAACCTGAAGAGCCATGTTTTCTTCGTGATTCATGAACTCCTGACGAGGGAGTAGATGGGTGTTCTCTGAAGCCCCATGAAAACCCACAAAGATACACCTGGCTGCTTCTATTTACAGGTTGTGGGGTGGCCAAATCAGGCTGGATAAGAACAGCTCCAAGAGAATCAGAATCAGGCCCATATATAGGCCTGGAAGGAATATTAGACTACAGTTAAGCTGTGCAGTCCTCTTGATGTTACTTGAGACACAGCTGCCAGGGCTGACTACTGAGCTACTGTCAAGAGTTCCTGGGATGAAGTTGTGCTTCTCCCAAGAGGATCTGCAATGCTTTGCCTCATCACCTCCAAAGTCTCTATTTATACCATAAGTATGCATCAAGGAAGAGGAATAAGTCGGTGGAGAAGAGAGTTATAACTGAATGTATACATTCACATTAAGAATATTTTAATATTTTTCTTTATGGAAGATATTGCATTTCAACAATGAAATTTACCATCAGAAACTATTTCCAGTGGCAGAAATAACATTGGCAGCATAAAGATGTGAGTGCCACTCAGCTATCCTGCTTCCCTCCGGGTGAAGCAGCTTGGGGTGTCTGCTGGCAGCTCAGGCCCTAGCTTTTTATGAGACTCCCAGTGCTGCCTGGGCAGCTCCTTCCCAACTCCTGCGGGCCCTTGAGAGCTGAGATGCCCTCCCACCTGTAGGCACAGTCCCTCATCAACATTCCCTATGTCCACCTTTGACCTTCCTACAAGCAGCCCAAGGTATACACACCCACTCCGGTGAGTACTATTATCAGGAACTTGTATTGACAGTTACTAAAAATACTCATGGAAGTAACACTTACTGCGATACTCATGACTATTCTTTTCATCTGTCCCATTTGGCACTCAGTTGGCCAGATCTTTCTATTTGGGAGATCCAGTTCCCATACTCGAATTGTCCCACTATAAAGAAAAATCACAGTTAAACAGATATCCATTTAACAGCCAGTTCACCTCTTTTATGCTTTTTGTGTTCTCTTACAGGAGAAGTTGAAGAGAACTAAACCTTTTAAAAGTTTTTTTGAAAACAGACTAGTGCTCTACTTAAGATCTTGCACACAGTCCCCATGAGGACCTAACAGTAGGGTTATATGATAGCTCACTCTCCAAATGAGGAAGTGCAGAGTTTGTGCATGGCAAAGTGGGACTTTACACCCAGCCCTCTCCCTCTGAAGCATGTAGTCTACTCACTACCCCAAAGGCTAACATGCAATGTGCAAGGAAACATGCAGAGCAAATTGGAGTTCTTTAAGTTTCTTTCCCTCTTTTTTCCTTTCTAATTGACAAGTAAAAAAGGGTGTCCATGATGTTCTAACATATGTGTACATTGTAGAATGGCTAACTCAACTTATTAAACATATGCATTACTTCATATACCTCACTTTTTGTGGTGAGAATACTTAAAGCCTACTCTCTTAGAAATATAAAATATGCTGTTTCATATATTCTACATAACATAGGTTTAAATATATTATTATTAGCTGTGGTCATTGCAATATACACAACCTAAGCATGCATCAAAAAGACAATGTGAGCAAAGGAACACTAGTCAGTCCCCCCTGCCCCCTGGTATTGGGAATCGAACTCAGGCCCTTGCACTTGTGAAGCACGCGGGCGGAACCATTGAGTCAAATCCCTGGCCCGCTAGTCAGTCTTAAGGAAGAGGAAATCCTGTCATTTGTAGCAATGTGAATGAACCTGGAGGACACATGAAATATACCAGGCACAGGAGGGCAAACACTGTGATGTCACTCTTGTGACATCTGATAAAGTTGAACTCACAGGAACAGGAAGTACAGTGGTCAGTAGCTGGATCATTAGGCTGGGGAAGGGAAAGTGGGGAGACATCTGCTTGGGACAATACACTGCAGTTAGAAGAAATGTCAAGGTACTGAATTTTGTAGAAAATATTAAGTTTAGTATGGAAAGTTTTATCTTTAAAGAAGGACAAATGAGACCAAGCACCTAAAAGTAAAGCTAAGATAGCATCTAACACAGGGCTTGATATATGGTTGCTTTTTAGTCATTGTATAGTGTAATTGTCTGAATTAGTAACTGTTTAACAACAGCAAGGTCATTACAGTCAGATTCCAACTAATATTAAAAGGTAGAAAAGATTAATTTAAAAATATATAAGGCCAGGGATTTAGCTCAGTGGTTCTGCCGCCTACCTCACAAATGCAAGGACCTGAGTTGGATCCCTGGTACCATAAAAAAAAAAAAAAAATACATCAAGTTCAGTATTTTTTTGTCCTCAGAATTATACAAATATCCATGGCTCTATAAATATTTCAAATGTATTTTCCAAATTAAAAATAAAAAGAGCTTTTCTATGACCCAAATGGAACCTGCAGACTTTCTCAGAGGGATAGTATAATAGAATCCATGAACCTGGGCTTTCCTAGAGAACCCAGGCAATTCAAGGGCCACAACAGAAACTTAACAAAGAACATTATCTTTCTCAGTCAGCATTCTCAATGTTGCTTGAAACTGAAGTAGATGTTAGAATGCAAATCATTCTTGAAACATCGTCTTTGGTATAAAATTTCAGTTTTAACTTCTGGAGAAATGTTTCCTGTGGCCATTAGAACAGACTGATGCCTTCAGCTCAGCAGCCACTGAGAAACAAAAGAACTTCTTAAAACACAGTCTTCCTAAAGCCACTCCGCAAATCTGACAGAAGCAAAAGAGCTTCGTGGGCATGGGTGGCCCCAGGAGACGAAGTAGGACATGGTCAACTGCGTTAGCATCAGAGCCCTGTCCTAGTATGATTTGTTCAAAAGAGGCTGGCTTTTATGCGGGCAGGAGGTCTCAGGGCCTCTTCATGAGTCCTTCCTCCTAATTAGCCACAGAATATATGCAAGCAGTGTGTCACAAGGTAGGAACCGGGAATAACATAGATACAGATTAGCGCAAATTCCTTAGTAGACCTGGAAAAGTAACCAATAGCATATACCTCTCTTACATAGGAAATGACAGATGGATTGAAAAGCACAGTTCCAACATTTACTTTGACATTTTCTGATTTCTCTCCTTTGAAAAACTGAATGACATGGAAAAAAGGATGCTTTTATACATGTTTAGCCTTTCCTGCAACTACAAATAGGGCTCTGATTTTCCATCTATAAATTAATTTATTCTGTTAGAAAGAAGCAAAGGCCTCTGTTCAGACGTTCACCTTGGTCACCATGAGCTGTTTAAAGCTGATCTTACCTGAAATTATGACATATGGCTAATAGGCTAAACATTTGAAACTTTCAGGCTCAGTTTATTTGCAAAATATCACTGCATGAGACCTAAATCAACTGCAGGTGGTAAGAAATATCAACGGTAAGTGAATCAGTGCAACTGTGCAAATTACTTTGTGAGCACAGATGGGAAGAAAATGTTTTTGTGACAAAAAACAATAGGAGATGAGTTCAGCAGGTCAACAAATCTCTTCAGGGGGGATCAGCACTTTTAAAGAATCCTATTTAAAAAGACATCTAACTAAAAGGGTTTCAAATGACTGCAAAATTTAGGATGTAAGGTGTTTGTCTGGGACTATATTCATGTTCTCCTAAATGGACTGGACCACATTTTCTGTGCAAGAAAATACATTCACTTGTGGGTTTTGACACTCTGACCGCAGAGACGTACTTTCCAGCAGTGACAAACATCTCATCCCGGCACCTCGAGAAGACCACAGTGGTGGCATTTCCGACACTGAGGCCGGCGGCAGGGCTGCCACAGATAGCATCTCGCTTGGCTATGTTCCATACAACCACGCTGTCAAAACAAGAAGGGAACAAATCACGGAAAATCACGCTCTCAAAATAAGAGACACCTATCTCAGTGGCTCTAGGAATAAAACAAAACAAAACAGGTTATTAACAAAGGAACAACAATAAAAAAAAATTGCACTGACCCACTCCACATCTCTTCAATCACACTGGATATTAGAATATCTGGTGATATTATCCAGGATAATAGAATAGCTGACACTTGTTAAAAGCTTTGAAGGAAAATCATTATGAGGCTGAAGCTAGTGAAGCCATCAATCAAGTCAGATGTTAAAAATAAAGACATTTTCAGACATGCAAGGCCTTAAAGGTTTCTTTCATGTAAATTTTTTCCTTGGGGAAGTTTTCCAGCAATGAAATTGGATGGTGTTCCCAAACTTGAACATACATCGAATCGGAACAATTAAGACAGGTCAGTTGATTTTATCATTATATATGATTATACAACACATGCATGTGTCCAAGTACCACACAGTACCCTAGAAATTGTACAATTTGTTTTTTGAGACAGGGTCTGGCTATGTAGTTCAGTATGGCCTTGAACTTACTGTGTAGTTCAAGTTGGCCTCAAACTCGTGGTGATCCTGCTGCCCCCAGCCTCCCAAGTGCTGGGATTACAGGCGTGTGCCACCATGACCAGCTACACAATTAAAACAATAACAATATAAGTATAAAAGAATTATTAAGACAGGCTTCTGGGTCTTACACACTGAGTGTCTGACTCAGGAGATCTGAGAATTTGCTTTTCTCACAAATCTCAGGTGAACAGATGCTGCTGTCTGGGGAACGCACTTTTTATTTAATTTAATTTTATCCCATTGCCCGCCCTCCCTCATGCCCCCTCCCTTCCTTATGTACAGAAGTTTTATTTCCATTTTTCCTTTTATTTTCACATTTTTCTTGTCCCTTTCTTTCCTTTCTTCCTCCCTCCTCCCTTGTTCCCCTTCCCATTTGAACATTTTCTTCCCATTTCCCAATATCTATTATTCATTTTAGTCCTTATTTACCCTTTTGGTTTCTCACATGAGAGAAACAATGTGGTATTTATTTATTTATTTACTTATTGCACCAGGGATCAAACTCGGGACCTTGCACTTGTGAGGCAGGTGCAGCACCACTGCGCTAAATCCCCAGCCCTTATAATGCAGTATTTAAACACGTGTGTCCAATTCATTTCACTTAAGAGTATGGTCTCAGGATCCATCCATTTAGCTATAAAGGTCTGAAGCTCATCCTTATTTGCAGCAGAGTAGTGCTTCATTGTATAAAAAAATCTTTATCCATTCGCCGATTGATGGGCATTTGGGCTGTTTCCAAGATTTAGCTATTACAAACTGTTGGGGCCCTCACTTTTAAGAAGCATTATTTTAGGGTAACATTTCTTTCTTTCCAGGTACAACCGTACAGCTTAGTCCTAAACAGAATAGTGTTTGGATAGCAAAACAAAGAATGGTGGGAACAAGGTGTAATTGTCAAATGATTGCATCAATCCAGGCATGGTGGCACACACACACCTGTGATCCTAGAATTGGAAAAGCTGAGGCAGGAGGATTGCCATGAATTTGAGACCAACCTGGGCTATATAGTGAGTTCAAGGTCAGTCTGAATTATATATCAAGACCTGTCTCAAAAAAAAAATCCCCAAATGATTGCATCAAAATGTTTAAAGTAAAAGAATCCAAATGTCACAAACCTTGTTAATGTTAAAACATACTCATCCAGACTTTCCAATTTTTCTATATGTAGAATACATCATTATTATAGGTAGTTTAAAATCTAGGTATAGCCAAGATCACAAGAATGAGAAAGCGGTGCAAAAGCTATATATTTTTTTCTTTTTTCATCATAGAAATAGAGAGCATCTAACAAGGAAAATTTGAGACATACCTCACATAAAAGTTGAAAATGATAACCAGAAAATAGAGGGAAAGAAGAAGAAGAAGAAGAATAGGACTATAAAAACCTTATCACAATCACAAAAAGTGGAAATGACCCAAAAATCCATCAACTGATACACGGATAAGTATATTTGGCATAACCACACAATACTATCTGAATATTATTTGACAATAAAAAATAATGACATACCATAAGTAGATAAATCTTGAAAACATAATGCATAGTGAAAAGTTAGACACATAAGGCTGTATATGGTATGATTTCATTCATGTGAAAGGTCCAGAAATGGCAAATCTATAGAGGCAGAAAGGAGAGTGGTGCTGGAATAAGAATAGATAGGGAGTGACTGCCAGTCACATATGGGGTTTATTTTTAGGCTGCTGAAAATATTCTAAAATTGGTTGTAGTGATGGTTGACAACTCCACAAATATATAAAAACTATCTAACTGTACCCCTTAGATGGGAAATTTCATAGTACATGAAATATATCTCAATAAAGCTATAAAACAAACAAAAATCCAAAAGCCTTTGGAGAGTAAGCTCTTCATGGTGATAGGACATGACGAGTCGCACCAGGAGTCTTATGCTTTTGAATCTTGGGTCATTCTGCAGAGTAGGACAACACAACTTCTTCATAAACTTTGGCCAAGTATAGCTTTACTTTTTCAGAAGTAAGTTCAAAATTTAAAAATAAATAAAGGGTATTAAAGTTGGCCAAATAATTCTGGCAGTCTGTTCAATGGAATTGCACACGCTCACTGCAAGGACTGAGATATAAGTCTAGAAGAATGAAACATACAGAGAAGGTATGCTTGGTGTCAGCTATATTACAACATGGGCGGTGTAACATTAATACTAAAGCAGTGGCATCGATAGGTTACAAAATAGAACAGTTACAGAAAGACACACCATAGAAAGTTCGCTGCGGCTCACATCTTTCCCCTTTCTCCCCCCGACCGTGCCAAAGCCAGGTGGTTCAGGTAGAGTGGACCCTTCCACAGTGTTGACTCCTGACCGTCTGAAACCAATCAGCAGAGCCCATCCTCCTTGCCATAGTGACTAATCGCCGATGTGCACTCTGCATTTTCTCTCATCCTTCTTTCAAGTGGGCTCTTCTACATCTACATTTCCCCAATTTTCTACAAGCAAATTGTAGACAAAGCCTAATATCGAGTTTCAAACTGCAGGGAAAATAACAGTTCTGCCAGGTTAACCTTAGTGAAGTGGCCATTTTTCTCTGCTCAGACCTACTCTCTCTGGCAGGGTGTAGAGATTGGGTAGCCTTAGGCCAAACTCGGAGAATCTCCAGGGTTGGGACCCAGGTGTCAGAATATGTTCAATCTCCCCCAGTGATTCCAACATGCATCCCAGGTTGAGAACAACTGTTTTCAGTTGAGATTAGAATATCGGTAGATGTTCTGGATATATTTTTCATTAAAGACAGTTAAATGGGAGCTAAACTCAGGGGCACACAGCTGTAATCCCAGGTACTCAGGAGGCCAAGGCAAAAGGATCACAAATTTGAAGCCACTCTTGGCAAATTGGTGAGACTGTGTTCCAAAGTAAAAATAAAAAGGGCTCAGTGGTGGAATATCTCTGGGTTTGATCCCTGGTACAAACAAACAATACCACCACCAACAAAATCAGTCATATTGTCCAGGGATGGTATGATCACCTGCAAATGACTACTAATGGAGGAAAAATGAAAACTTTGTTGACTTTCTATAGATTAAGAGAATTGTCAGCATGCAAACTTTGTAACAGACCCATGAAGCTCAAATAAGAAAACACTGAATATGTAAAAGTATATTGAAGTATTAAATCCCATACGAACCTTGGGTGTTATTATTTCTCTCCTGCAGGCTGTGTCTCTTCAATACTTACATAAGAATATGTCCCGCATTATTGTTTTCCCTAATACAGTATAATGTTTAAAATATACATTCCCCCAGTTTCATCTGTATGTGTTCTCTGTCTGCCAAAGTTCACTGAGTTCTTCAAGGGGCAGAGCTCCTGTCTCTGTGAGGCAAGTTCAGCCCCACCTCTAGAGTCACCCCACCAGGGTTTGTCTCCCAGTTCTGTCATTCCCAAGCCGGTGACTTTGGTTTCTCAACTGTCACTGGGCACCAGTAGCTTCCCCTCAAAGAGTGGTTGTGAAGCTTACATGAGGTAATGCCATGAAAGTGCTCAGCACGTACTTGTCACACAGTACGTACTTAGCTGTTGTCTTTAGCTACAATCATCATCCTAGTTATGACCATGGTCTTTCTTTGACAGCAATGGTTCTTGAATTTAGGTACACATTCAAGTCACCTGAGAAGCTTTATAACTCCTAGAATCCTCTGAAGGTAGAGCCAGGCACTGTATCTGTAGTTTGCCAGAGCTCAGCAGCTGATTTCAGTGGACACCCTGAGTTGAGAACCCTTACTGTGCATTGCTTTTATTCATGGACTTTTCACACTTTGAGCGCTCAAACATGGCTGGGCCAACAGAGCACATTAGAGGGGACAGCATACTTAACACATCTAGAAATAGACCTGGTGGCAAACAAATCAGTAGAATTAATTCCTTACCTTCCATCATCTGGGCCTCCAAGTGATACCAAGTACAAATCGTTTGGTGAAAAGGCCAGAGCTTCAATTTTGCCCTTGTGAAGTGACAGTCGAGCAATCAGCTCCCTTTTCTTATAATCCCACAAAATAATGTCTGCCTGCGGGTGAGAATATGCTGTCAGGTCCTAGCCAGGCTTATGAATCGGAGGGATGGCTGTCCCTCTTGTGGAGAAATAATCAGCCATGTCACTTTTCTGGAAGTGAGACTACATTTTATAAACATGGCAGACAACCACATGGAAATCGTTTTAAGTGGGGCTTTTGTCCTTGAATGTCATCAGTCACAGGCTGCAACAGCTGGTGTAAAAACATCGGATTCCTTCACTGTCAGCCCAAGGGAGAGAAAATAAATTGCAAGAGGTCAAAAGGAAGAGGGAAGAGCAGAGCACATGGTGACAGAGGGCCAAGGGCTTGGAAAGGGCAGTTCCTCTAGGAAGGCATTTCTGCATACATTCACAATACATTGTCTTCCCTCTACTCACCTTGAACCCCATGAATGTGACTTGTCCAGAGGCAATGTAATCTCCATTCTTAGAGATGGTCAAACAGGAGACGTTGTTACTATGACCATGTAGGAAATTCTGCTCTTGAGTGTTTATCGCCTGAATGAGTATTGTACAACCCAGGGGATAAATCATATGCTCCTGGTCAGGATGACATTTAAGACCATTGGGAACATGTCCTAAAAGAGAGAGATGAAAAAAGTACAGGCAGGGTGGGTATGGTGGCACATACCTATAATATCAACACTCTAGAGGCAGAGGCAGGAGGATCTCAAGACTGAAACCAATGTGGCCAGCTGGGACAATGTACATCGGGAACCTGTGTCCCATAACAAACAACAAACAGAAACAATAACAACAACAGCAACAACAACAAAAAAAAACATGAACAACAACAAAAAAATCATAATCAGGTGCACAAGTGTCTGGTAATATTTTACAAGAATACAAAAACAGAAATCCCCTTTGAAATAAGCCTAGGTTCTATTAAAATACGTAGGGCGTGATAACTCATTTCATCCCATAGGCAAGAGGGTTGGTGTGGTACATTGTTTCTTCAACTTTAATATGCATAAAATCCCTAAGGGATTCTGTTAACATGCGAATTCTGATTTCAGGTCTGAGATGGCCCTGAGACTCTACTTTCCCAGCCAACTCCCAAAGGTGCTGATGCAGGGACAGCAAGGCCCTAGGCCCAGTTCCCGTAATCCTTCACAGCAGGGGCACATGGAGCATGGCAGCTTGTTTAGGTGAAAGTGTGGGCATAGGGGGAATGTGAATCCCGTACCTCAGGCAAGTGTTTGGCTTATTTCACTTAGCGTGATTCTCCAGGTTCATCCATGTTTTTTTGTTTGGTTTGTTTTTGGTGTTTGGATACAGTCTCGCTAGCCCCCAACTCTCAGTGATCCTCCTGCTTCAGCCTCCCCAAGGCTGGGATTACCCACAAATGAGATTGGTGTACTACAGAGTAGTTCTAGTTTTATACTTTTCGAGGAACCACCACACCGTTTTCCATAAAGGGTGCCCCAATTTAAATTTTCTGATGGTTAATCTAAATGTCAAAGTGATTGGCATAAGAGATGCCCAGGAGATGAGTGAAGCACACTTCTGGGGGTGTCTGGGTGGGTTCACATCTGCTCCCTGGCCCCTTCTCCTTTGGCTACTTCCTCTTATGGGTCAGCTCTTTCCTCCAAGAGTTGAGCAGCTTTCCGCTGCCCTACCTTTCGACTACAATGTTTCTACCTTGAAGCCAGCCAGCTGATCATGGATTGAAAATGCTGCAACCAAGAACTAAAACAAACCTTTTCACCATTTAGTTGCTTTTCTCAGGTAATTTGGTTATAGCAATGAAAACATGGCCAAAACACATTCCCACCAACAATGTATAAAGGTTCTCTTTTCCACATATCCTTACCAACACTTGTTATCCTTTTTTTATAATAGCCATTCTAACATTGATGAGATGATATCTTATTGTGATTTTGATTTGCTCTGCCCTGACAATTCACTAGTGAATACTGTGTACCTTTCTATACACCTGTTGGCCATTTGAATTTTTTTTTTTTTTTTTTT